ATATATGCAGTCTCTACCAGATCAGTAAGCCTGGGCTTTTTGTTTCCTATTTCCCTCAACTCTACCCAGGATCCTGTACTGTAGTTTCTTTTAGAGCGGTCAGTGGTGGCAGCCAGGCACCATCTAGTTCTTTTGGTCTCAAACTTATGGAAGCTGAGTTTTTCAAAGTTCATTAGTCCTTTGGACTAATTGCTTCTATACATCTTTACTTTTATTTTTACTTCTTTGTTCCAGGCAGGGAGAAGTCAATAGTTACACCTTACATGTACCCTTGAATGTTATTAAAAACCCAGCTGCTACTCACCAAAGCAGCACGTAAAACATTGTCTTTGTGAACTGTTATGCCAATTGATCTGGGTGTTGCTCTAGACCATGGTCCTGCCCAAGACCAGTAAGTCATTCCATTGAGGTCTTTGGTTATCGTTAAGAATTTTACATAGCTTCATCCCTTGTTGCCTTCGCTATACATATAACTGTATTCACATCATATACTAATATGATTGGAGAAACATCTGCCAAACCTATATATGGTCATGAATGTAATCTTTTTCACTTATCCATATCTATTCATCTTGCCCATCTGTGTGTGTCTATGTGTGTATATATGCTTGTAGACATTTTTTATTATTAATATTGCAGGATTCAGTATGTTGTAGTGTTTACTTTGTTGACTACATTTCATGTGTATCTCTCCAGGTCTTCCCTTTAGTGCTATTGTGCTGATCATCCCCTTATTGTATATTTTCTTTCCTTTTACCTTGATATGTCTGTTATCTATTTATTAATTTTTATGTGTCTCTTATTTCCTTTACATCCTTGAGAATCATCCCAAAATAATATTTTTTGTGCTTAAGCCTTTCTTTAGCTTTATAACAATAGTGGATTTGCAGAGAATATTTGTCTTGTGACTGACTTACTTCATTCAGTATAATCTTCTCTAGATTTGTCGATGTTACATGATATTTTGTGAATTCTTCATTGTTCTTTTGTATTGCATAGTATTCCATCATATGTATTGTTGTTGTTATGTGCTGTCGAGTCGCTTGCGACTCACAGCGACCCTATGTACAACAGCCCTAAACTCTGCTCTGTCCTGTGCCAATCACACTGTCTCTGACACTCCCATCCCAATTATCCCAGTCACTGAATCAATCCACCTCATAGAGGGCCTTCCCCTCCTGCGCTGTCCCTCCACCCTCCAAAACATGATGTCCCTCTCCAAGGACCAGTCTCTCCTCACAACATGTCCAAAGTATGTTAGACGGAGCCTCAGAATCCTTGCCTCCAAGGAGCCACCCAGTTTAACCCTTTCCAGGACAAATCTGTTGTTTTCCTAGCAGTCCATGGTATTCTCAATACTCTTCTCCAGCACCACAGCTCAAACACATCAATTCTATCCTCCTTGGTCATTGCCCAACTCTCTGATGCATAACAAGTGATTGCAAAGACCATGGCCTGTATCAGACGCACCTTAGTCTCCAGAGAGATACCATTGCTCTTAAGTACTTTGGAGAGGTCCCTAACAGAAGACTTTCCCATGGCAACGCGCCTTTTCATTTCCTGGCTGCTGGTGCCAAGAGTGTTGACTGTGGAGCCAAGCAAACTAAAGCTGTGTACAATCTCAATCTCTTCACCATTCATCCTGATGCTGCCAATTGGTCCAGTGGTGAGAATCTTTGTCTTCTTGACATTGAGCCTCAATCCATACTGGAGGCTGCAGTCCTTGACACTCTGCAGCAGGTGCTTAAGGTCCTCTTCAGTTTCAGCAAGCAGGGTTGTGTCATCCACTTAACACAGATTGTTGATAAATCGTCCACCAATCTTGACCCCACATTTCTCCTCATAGAGCCCAGCCTCCCGGATAATCTGTTCTGCATATAGGTTGAAAAGATAAGGAGATAGGATGCATCCCTGGCGTACACCCTTCCCAATTTTGAACCATGCAGTGTTCCCTTGCTCTGTTCTGACGACCACCTCCTGGTCCAAGTATAGGTTTTGCATTAGAACGATCAAGTGTTCTGGGATTCCCATCCTCAGTCAGCCATAGTATGTTATGATCCACACAGTCAAATGCCTTTGCATAGTCAATGAAACACAGATAGACATGTATTACAGTTTATTTATCTAATTACAGACACCTGGGTTTTTTCTATCTCTTTGATATTGTAAATAATGCTGCAATGAACATGGGAGTGCAAATATCTCTTCACAGAGCTGATCTTGTCTTTAGGATCTATAATCAGTAGTGGGATTACTGAAACAAGTATTTATCTTTTTAACATTTTAAGGAAGTGTTAAACTGCTTCCCAGAATATTAATACTGTTTACATTCCCGCCAGCAGTATATAAAAGTTGCAAACTCTATTCATCATCATCCATATTTGTTCTTTTTTTGCTTACTACATTTTCCTATTGTTCCTGGGATGAGATGATATCTCAGTGTTGTTTTGACTTTCATCTCTCTAATAGTTAATGAGAAAACTGTGGTGGCCTAGTCCCAAGGAGTAGCACATTTTGAGCAGTTCAAATTCATCAGTAGCACTTTGGGAGAAAGATGCACAGCATCCTCCCAATGTGATTTACAGTAGTTCTTTACTTATCTATGCTCTCTTTCTATATAAAGTTGATGATTTGCCCTCCATCCTTCTGAAGAATGATGACAGGATCTGGACTGGGAATACATTGTACCTGTAGATTGCTTTTGGTAGTATAGACATTTTCACAGTCTAAGTCTTCCACAATGAACATGGTATATTAATTCCATCAACAATCTGCATTATACAGATGACACAACCCTGCTTATTGAAACTGAGAAGGACCTGAAGCTCTTGCTGCAGACAGTCAAGGACTTCCACCTTCAATATGGATTGAAGTTCAACATCAAGAAGACAAAGATTCTCACCTCTGGGCCATTTGGCAGCATCATGATAGATGGTGAAGAGATTGAGATTGTTAACAGCTTCAGTTCGCCTGGCTCCACAGTCAACATTCTTGGGACCAGAAGCCAGGAAATCAAGAGATGAATTACTTTGGGAAAGTCTGCTGTCAGGGACTTCTCCAGTGTACTGAAGAGCAACGATGTCAGGCTGGAGGCTCAGGTGCACCTGATACAGGCCATGGTCTTTGCAATTATTTGCTATGTGACAGAAAGCTGGACAAGAACTAGAGATGATAGAAGGGGAATTGATGCTTTTGAGCTTTGGTGCTGTAGAAGAATATTGAATATACCATGGACTGCTAGGAGAACAAACAAATTTGTCCTGGAGAGGGTGAAGCCAGGCTGCTCCTTGGAGGCAAGAATTCTGAAGCTTCTTCTAAAATACTCTGGACATATTGCAAGGCGGGATCAGTCCTTGGAGAAGGACATCATGCTTGGGAGGGTGGAGGGACAACGCAGAAGAGGAAGACTCTTGATGAGGTGGATTGATTCAGTGACTGGGGTAATGGGGATAGGTGTATCAGGGACAGTAAGATTGGCAGGGTTTCGGGCTGTTGTACATAGGGTCACTATGAGTTGCAGGTGACTCAACAGCACATAACAAAAACAATAACAGGTCTGTTTTGTTTTCTTGTATTAGTGTTTTGTAGTTTTCCTTATATAGGTCTTTTGTATCTCTAGTTAGATTTATGCCTAAATATGTCACATTTTGGTGGCTTATTTTTCTTTTCAGGATTCTTTATTACCATAGAGGAATCTGATTGATTTCTGTATGTTGATCTCATACCCTGCCCCTTTGCTGAGCTAGGGCAATTAGATCCAGTCATTTTCTTGCTAAGTCTTGGGATTTTTCTTTATTTAGGATTAGATAATTTGTTAACAGAGATGCTTTTACTTCCTCCTTGCTAATTTGGAAGCCTTTGATTTCCTTCTCTTGACTTATAACTCTGGCTAGGACCCTTTACAAAGTGGATTGACATGGTGACTATTGTGAAGGGCTCTTGTGTGTCAGGAAGTGTGAGGATGGTGCAGGATACAGCAAGGTTCACATCTTTTGTTCATAGGGTCATTATGAGTCGTACTCAACTTGACAGAATCTAACAATAATAACAACAGGACTTCCAATACAATATTGAATAGGAGTAATGAGAAAAGGTCCTATAGATGGTGGTATGTTATGTTTTCATTTTTATTTGTGCCATTTCTTCTATTACTCAATAGTGTTCAAGAAGGGTATTTAGTTTCCATGTGCCTGATTCATTTTCCTTGATCTTCCAGTTGTTAATTTCTAATTCTATAACATCGTGATCTGAGAAAATATTTTGTAGTATTTCAATGATTTTGATTTGTTAACACCTGCTTTGTGACCTAACAATTTCCAGCAGATTTTTGAGAGGCTGCAAACTACACCGGAGAGATTGCTCATATTTCTCCTGTGGAGCCACTGACAGATTCAAACCACCAGAGATATGCCACCTTGGATTAGAGTGCAACTCCCTATGGACTACGCCACCAGAGCTCTCTTAGATAATAATGATACCTTTAAATTAAACTAGTCTCTCTATATGCACATGCATGGCCAAAAGGAGTCCTGTTGTTGCAGTGGTTAGGTATTCAGCAGCTAACCAAAAGTCAGTGGTTTAAATCCACCAGGCCTCTCTGCTTCTGTAAAGATTTACAACCTTAGGAATCCTATGGGGCATACTACTCTGTCCCACAGGGTTGTTATTAGTCAAGATCAACTCAAAGATAAATTATTATTTTTTTTAAAAAGGCTATAATCCATAGAGTGAAATAAGATACACATACTCTATTTTTATAGCAAAGACTGGGAACATAAGCTTCAAGATCATACACTACCTTTGGCAAAACTTTGATTTGTAAAGTTTCCAATAACTCTTTGAAATGAGCTGTTAGATATAAACCACAAAGACATTTAAAAGTTTTAGCCTTTTTTACTGACCTTTACTTCATGATTCTCAATCAAAAGAACATTTATATATTTTTTTTCTATTTGCAAACATTATGATTCTACATGTTACTATTATTCTCAAAAAAAGGTTTATTTCTTCAGCTCGTTATGGCTATGGGGGTTGATGGAGACATCAGCTTGGAGCACTTCTGTCTCCCCATCATGAACAAACTCTGGTGGCACTGGAGATTCCTGCACCTTGGATTTTACAGCATGAGCTGCATAGTTAATGCTGGTATTTTCACTCCAATGCCAATAGCCTGAGAAAGGGTTGTAGAACATTCCTGCCACAGTTTGAACTGACAAACCATCTGGAAAAAAAAATATATTTCAGAAATATTAATTTAACATTTAATGAATAGTGAAGAGTTTCAAGTGAGCTCTGATGACTGTCTACACACACACACACACACACACACACACACACACTCATAGAAGACACAGTTATAGATCGTTCTCAGACATAAACAAATACTGCACAAGATCGGTTTTCTATGTTTAAAGGGTTAGGACCTTATTAGACAACTCCGTCTAACTGCTTCATGGAATTGGAGTAATAGGCATAATATAGTTCACAAAGTTCCATTTGGGATCGTAAAACACTGAGAACAGCGATTTAAATTGGTCTCTACTAGTAGTAACAAAAGAGGTAAACCAAGAAAAGACCTTAAATTCACTGCCTTTGAGTTGATTCAGGCTCTGTCGGATCTCTGACGTTCCAAAAGCTTTAAGCTGCAATGGCAGGAGACTGTCTTTTTTTTTCCCTGCAGAGAGGCAAGGAGACTGACTACATCCCCAGAGTTCTCTTTTTTTTTTCTCAGAGTTCTCTTAACTACGTAATATAATATGTTCATACTTTGAAACAGTTGAACCAGTCACTACTTCATAATAAATGCAATTTAAAAAATCAAAATATTATGTACAAAGTGCTGTGTGATCTAGGAGTATATATATAACTCAAAACTCATAGCTGGCAACTCATAGCAGACCCTCCAACTGTTTTTTGGGATGCTGTAAATCACAGAGGAGAATGCTCATCTTTCTCCTGTGGAATAGCTGGTGAATTTGAATCACCTGAGACTCTACCTTTGGATTAGCCATACAACTCCCTATAGATTACACCACCAGACCTCTCCCCCCCACCTGTCACACACATACACACACTTCATAAAATAGATTTCAACTCATTTCAGAGTATATTTGCTCTTGTGGTATCTAAAGCTAACTATCTTTACAGAAGCAGACTGCCTTATCTTTCTTTTGCAGAGCACTGATGGGTTTGAATCATCAATATTTGGGTTAGCAGCTCAGAGCCCTAACATTGTACCACCAGGGCTCCTTTTTATTTCATCTCCTCAAACAGGTCATAAACGCCTCAAGGTAAGTATTAAGTATTAGATGACCCTTCTCTCTTACTGATGGAACTTAGGGCCAAGCAAATAACATGGCAGTTCCATGTTAGATAAGAACCTTATTTGGGTAAGAATTCAGTCTTCTTTTCAAATTCTTTTTTTTTAAATTTTTATTTTTTAATTTATTCTTTTTATGTGTGTACCATCAAATTGGATCTGACTGGTACAGGAGGCGATCGTTCCTCCTTCTTCAGCAGAGCATCTGGTGGATTTGAACTGCGCACCTCTGAGATTGCAGTGCAGTGAATTCAGTCTTCTTGAAGGTCAAGATCTCATTCCTAACCTGGGAACCGCTTACTGGAAATTAAACCACCAGACTGCAATTAAAGAAAATTATGACACTGTGAAAAATGTGAATAATGTCAATGAAGACTTATATATACATAACCAAATGAGAACCTGATTTGCTCCTTAAGCTTTCAGTGAAAATATGGTATCATTTTTAAAAAGTGATAAGGAAATTAAAAATGTATGAGTGTGAAGAAATCAGGGAAAATGGTACATAAAGATAAGCTGTTTAGGTAAAAGACATTTTGTATCTCATCCTTAAGTGAAGATTAATCAGCATTCACAAAAAAAAAGTATTCACTGATCATCTATTATTTGTTTGATCATATGTGCAACATGTGCAAGAGAAGTGTTATGTAGTATTTAAACCTGGCAGTAAAGAATGTATAACTAGGTGAAGATATGAAACCAAATATCCAAAAAGAAATGGTCTCACAGTTTTGAGAGAATCATCAGAATGTAATCTGAAAATACTGGGAATTTTCATATGTTCATTATTCAGATAGACCTGCAAATGTTTCTTCTGTCCTCACTAACATCTTTTGGCTGAAATACAGCATGTTTCACAGATCTACCACCTCTAGTACTTTCTTCCCTTTTATAATCTCATATAGTGTGCTTAGCCTTTATTCAATTTTTTCAACTATGTGTATTTAAGGGAGCTCTGGTGGTATAGTGGTAAAAAGCTGTGCTACAATCCCAAAGGTGCATGGCTTGAATCTACCAGCTGCTTCATGAGAAGGGTGGGTTATTTCCCTTGGGATTAACGAAAATCCGCTGGAGGGTCAGCTATGAGTCAGTTCTAACCTGATGGCATAAAACAACCAACACAATGCATATTTAAAGAATTTTTAAATTCTGTAAGTATTTTACTTGCAAGTAAAGTTATACAATCTATCTTGCTTTTTCAAAAGGTAGTGGTTTATTTCATTAAGTGCTAGGTTGTGTGACTAATAATTATAGATCCTTGAAAAGTTCTGCTCACTCACTGAGATGTTAGTGTAAATGTAGGCTTTTCTGACCAGTATCTTACCCTCTCTGGTCTCCAAACACCTTAACTACAGAACCATGGTCTGGCAAATCATCAACAGCTGTGGGAAAAGGAAAAGGAAGAGATTGCTTCCCATGCTAAGCAGCAAGACTTGAGGGATACTGGCCCTGGTGACAGTGAAACCAGAGCAGTTGGCGAGATCCTGGTGATAGTGGTGGAGAGACTGTAGAATTACTGTAGAAAAACTGTGGTAAAGTGTAATCAGAGGAGCCCTGAGATAAAGGCCACAGTTAAAAGTTTTGCTGTGCTTGTCAGATGATTAAAGGAGAAGCTGACTTGTAACTGCTGAGGCAAACCTTGCTGAGTGATTTGGATTTGTGCTACTGAACTGAACTGGCTCTTTTACTAACTGAGAAATTATGTTTTGCAGTCAATCTGGCTAAAGACTGCTGGACTAAAACCTTGACTCTCATTGGGTGATATTCTTTGACTCCTCCAGTCTCAAACATACTTCCTTAATAAAGCACATGCTCAGTACTATAACTGAGGAAAGTCTGTGAGTCAACAATGAATACTGGACCCAAATGACTGATAGAAAGAGGTGTAGGAACATAGTGGGGTACTGTTTCTGATCAAGCAGTTATCTGTTTGCTGCTATGGACACTACCAGTGGAGACAGCTTCCCTTTTTGAAGGAGTAGAGGTCAGATTGGCCATCCTCATATTACGGCTGCTCCTTGTACACTCAACTTATTGGTACCATTGAGTCAGAATCAACTCATAGCTGACCCTCCACCGGGTTTCTGAGGCTGTGAATTGCACAGGAGGCAATGTCTATCTTTCTCCCTTGGAGCTGCTGGTGGATTCAAACCACCAGACAGGCTCCTCTACCTTTAAGTTATCAGCCCAAACCCCTAAAGACTAGACTACTAAAGCTCCCTAAAAGTTCAGTCAGGCTTTATAGGTGGTGGAAAAAAATGAATACTTACTTGATTCAAGAAGGCTCTCTAGTTTTTCAGGTGAAACAAACTTCTCCCACGTATGAGTGCCTTTTGGTACAAGGCCCGCAATTTGCTCCACAAAAACAATTCCCAAAACATAAGACAGCTGCGTTTTGTTGATTGTAGTAATGAATAAAGAACCACCAGGCTAAGTCAAATTTGAAAGATAAGGAGTATATGTTAGGTAAAGGCTTAACTTCCTCCTTCTCTGCCTTTCTTCCAAATGACATTCTATAGTGTTGCTAAATATTTAAGTATGATCAAAATATAATTTAACAAAATGCTATCCTTCTACCTTGGAAAATTTATTTAAAGGCACTCTTCTACAGATACACTCTATGTAACAGTTCTTATAATGCTTAAAATTAAACAATATTTTGGTTTACACTTGCATTATAAATACATTCATCTGTCAAATATATTAAAATGAAATCTAGAAATGAGGGCAGGCTGCTCTTCTCTGTGGAGTGTGTACATTTATGCTTGCCCCTAAGTCAACCCTGTGCTCTCTGTGAGTACACAGAACTCAAGAGGAATGCCGAGGAACTGTGGTGGCACAAAGCAGCACATCCTGTCCTTGGCAGTATTACCAAAAAGTGTTCCAAAACCAGCAAATTCATAATTAAGTTTCAAAAGGTGTTTTTGTTGTCATTTTGATTCCATTAGTATAAAGAACATGAAGACATCTACTTATGCATTTATGGGACAGTTTACTTCTCCAATTTTTAAATTACTATATTCAAGATATTTCTTGTATTTACTTGTACTCATGCAAGGGCATGAATGTCTCCTCTCTCTTCTACACATTCTATTAACCCAGTGTGGATAAAATGCCAAAAACATCTCCAAAAGATTAATATTACTATTTACACAGATATGTTGTTGTTGTTATGTGCCATCGAGTCGCTTATGACCCATAGTGACCCTATGTACAACAGCCCTAAACCCAGCTCTATTCTGTGCCAATCACACTGTCTCTGACACACCCATCCCGATTACCCCAGTCACTGAATCAATCCACCTCACAGAGGGTCTTCCCCTCTTGTGCCGTCCCTCCACCCTACCAAGCATGATGTCCCTCTCCAAGGATCTGTCCCTCCTTACAACATGTCCAAAGTATGTCAGACGAAGCCCCAGAATTTTTGCCTTCAAGGAGTAGCCTGGTTTAACCCTCTTTAGGATGAATCTGTTTGTTTTCTTGGCAGTCCATGGTACATTCAATACTCTTCTCCAGTACCACAAAGGCTCAAAGGTATCAATTCTCCTTCTATCCTCCCTAGTCATTGTCCAACTCTCTGATGCATAACATGTGATTGCAAAGACCATAGCCTGTATCAAACTCACCTTAGTCTCCAGAATGACACCATTGCTCTTAAGTACCCTGGAGAGGTCCCTAACAGCAGACTTTCCCATCGTAATATGTTTTTTTATTTCCTGGCTACTGGTGCCATGAGTATGGACCATGGAGCCAAGCAGACTAAAGTTGTTAACAATCTCAATCTCTTCACCATCCATTCTGATGCTGCCAATTAGTCCAGTGGTGAGAATCTTTGTCTTCTTGACATTGAGCCACAGTCCATACTGAAGGCTGCAGTCCTTGACCCTCTCCAGCAAGCACTTCAGGTCCTCCTCAGTTTCAGCAAGCAGGGTTATGTCATCTGCATAATGCAGATTGTTAATAGGTCTTCCACCAATCCTGATGCCACACTTCTCCTCATAGAGGCAGCCTCTCAGATAATCTGTTCTGCATATAGGTTGAAAAGATATGGAGATAGGACACACCCCTGACGTACACCCGCCTTTCCCAATTTTGAACCATGCAGTGTTTCCTTGCTCTGTTCTGACAACTGCCTCTTGGTCCAAGTATAGGTTTTGCATTAGCACAATCAAGTGTTCTGGAATTTCTTCCCATTCTTCTGAGTCAGCCACAGTTTGTTATGATCCACACAGTCAAATGCCTTTGCATAGTCAATGAAACACAGATAGACATTCTTCTGGTATTCCCTGCTTTCAGCTAAGATCCATCTAACATCAGCTACAATATCCCTAGTACCACGATCCTTTCTAAACCCAGCAGCCTTCTGGCAGTTCTCTGCTGATGTGCTGTTCCAGTCGTTTTTGTATAATTTTCAATAGAATCTGGCTTGCATGTGAAATCAATGATATTGTTCTATAGTTTCCACACTCTGTTGGGTCACCCTTCTTTGGAATGAGAACAAATAAAGATTTCTTCCAGTCAAATGGCCAAGTGGTGTTCTCCAGATTTCTTGGCACAACTTGGTGAGCACATCCAGGGCAGCAGCTGTTAGCTGAAATACGTCAATTGGTATGCCATCTATTCCTGGGGCCTTATTTTTTGCTATTTTCTTCAAAGCAGCTTGAACTTCTTCGTCACTATAGGCTCTTGTTCATATGTTATTTCATTACATTCTTCTGTGCCTGCCAATTCCTTTTGATACAGTGACTCAGTATATTCTTTTCATCTTCTTTTAATACTTCCTGGATCATTTAATATTCTTCCTAAAGCATCTTTATTTATTTATTTATTTATTTGTTTGTTTGTTTTCTAAAGCATCTTTGATTATAGCAACTCGAGGTTTGAATTTGTTCTTCAGTTCCTTGAGCTTAAGAAATGCTGAACGAGTTCAGCCCTTTTGATTTTCCGACTACAGTTCCTTGCACATTTCATTGTAATATTTTGCTTTGTCCTCCTGTGCTGCCCTTTGGAATCTTCTGTTCAGCTCTTTAGTATCTTGAATTCTTCTTTGTGCTTTTGCTTATCCGCGTTCCAGTGCAATCTTCAGAGTCTCTTCTGACATCATTTTGGTCTTTTTTCTCTCTTCTGTCTTTGTAATGACCATTTGCACTCTTCCTGGATGATACATTTGACATCCTCCCACAACTCACCAGGTCTTCGCTCATTAGTGTTCAAGGCCTCAAACCTGTTCCTGAGATGGTTCTGAAATTCAGGTGGGATGAACTCACAGTCATATTTTGGTTCCCGTGGATTTGGTTTCATTCTCTTCAGCTTCTTGCCACTAGGCCCCCAGAGCTCCTTTTCCTACACAGATATAGATGTGCATATTTAGGTGTGTGGTGTTGGAGAGAACATGAGAGAAATGATGAGATATAGAAGGAATATATCTCAAATACCATGCTGAACCAAAAAGAAAAGAAACAGGAAGATGTCCTAAAATTTTGGTCTGTCCCCTCAATAAACATGGAGGTATTACACATTATAGCATCACATATTGTGAATTTTCTCTATGTTGTTTTGTATTGTCTAGTTGGAACTCACAGCTGAACCCTCCAGTGCCTTTTCAGAGGCTGTAAATTACACAGGAAGCTACTGCCCATCTTTCTTCCTCTGAACAGCTGGTAGCTTCCATCCACTTGCCTTGAGGTTGGAAGCTTAACTTCCTACCACAAAGTCATCAGAGCTAAACACTAATATTCTGAAACAGTTCATTAAAATCCACTTTTTGGTATCTAACTTGTGGTCTACAAAATATTTTTTTTAAATAATTTTAATGAGCATTTACAGAGATTTTGGATTTCCATTCATTCATTGCTGCACTTCTCTCCCTGCCCAGCCCTCACCCCCACCCCAGTTTGCTCCTCTCTTTCAAAAGTAAAAGAAACACTCCCTTCCTTGGTACACAATCCCCCCGCACCCCTCCCACCGCCCCAAGTACATTCCACTATGCAACCTTAATTGTGGACTCTTGTGATAACCATAATACCCTATAATACATCTTTTTTAAGAAAACAATGAGTGAAATTGTAATTAACAACATGTAGCCAACATTAGGGAGTTTTGATAGCCTCGTGGATAAGGAGTTGAGCTGCTAACTCAAAGACAGACGGTTTGAATCTATCTACCAGCTGCTCCAAGGAGGAAGATGAACAACCTCCTCTCGTGTAACGTACTGTTTCTGAAAACATACTGGAGGGGTCAGCTATGAGTTGGTTCTCACTTGAGGGCAATGAAAAAGAGACAGAGAGAAAGAGAACCAACATTAATTTCTTAGTTTTGAGAAATGTACTGTGGTTAGTTAGGTAAGAGTCTGGGATTAGGATGAGGCAAGTGAAATAAGTACCTAGGTACAAAATTTGAGGCACTCTCTCTCAGAGCCATGCAAGTGCAGGATCAGCACCTTAGAGGTCTGCCTCCTTAATTTTTGTGCTCTAGGCATCTACCTAGTTTGCTCCACCCTAGTCACTTTTCTGGTTATGTAAGATAACATAAGGGGAAACAGAAAGAAGAGTATATGGGGAAACTTTGTATCTACCATCTTTGCATCTCTTCAATGTATCTAAAATTGTTAAGAATAAAGAGAAATTTGGAACCACACCCAGAGAATTAAATCTGCTAATTGTGAAAGTAGAATATTAGAAAAGTCAGGTTTGGAACCAAATGATCTAGCCTTAAATATTACTTACTGTCCTAGTGACCTATGACATCTTTCAAATCCTGAGTCCTCTTGGCAAAAGGTGACAAGAATGCCTGCCTTACCTTCCATATACAGTTGTAGGTAAAAATAAGTGAGATCGTATGTGTGAAGTGCTCTCTAAGCTGAAAGTTGTTATGTATGTCATATTTGGGGTTACTTTAAGTAAATATATGTTAGCAATTATTTTATTTCGAATTTTAAGCATTAATCCTAATAAATTTCTTAGTAATTTTCATTCCATGTCTATTAATTCACTGTTTAATCCTCACTGGCATATTGTCTTACCTATTGGGCTGTTAACAGAAAAGCCTGCCAACTGGAATCCACCAGCCAATTGGGCAAAAGGTGAGGCAGTCTTTTCCTATCAAAAAGCCCAATGAAGGGTCACCAAGACCCTTCAGAATCGGTTTGATTTTAATTTCTACTTATCAGTGGAAAAACACTGCTATAAATGTATAATTCTTAATTTTTTTTAAGCACAAACATTCTCTAATCTTTCTGGGAATCAAGATTCCAACTGAAGAACCCTGGCATTGCAAAAGAGTATAATGGTACTGAAATATTATGCCTGGGGACAGAGGACTCTCAGTAGAGATGTTCTCTCCTGGTACTGGCTTTCCAGTTCCTCCTTCTCTATATTTTGCTGAACTATACACACAAAAAGGAAACTCCACAAGTCTTACTTTTAACACTTGACAGCAGCACTGTATAAATGTTTCTAGATCAATCACATGTTCTATAACCTCAGAAGCTACAATGGCATCAAATGTTTCAACTGTTTCTTCCACAATTTCTTCCAGAGAGCATGCTTTGTACTTGATCCTCTTATCCAGGACTGGATCAAATGACTTATGATGCTGTGCTGTTTTAATGTTTTCATCCACAGGATCAATTCCAACAACTGAAGCCCCAAGTCGTCCTAGAGGCTAATGGAATAAAAAACTGTTACCATCAGGAAAAAAACACCAGAATACATATTAGCAACAAAAAGTACATCACAAGTAAAACAAGATTATCCATGAGAAAAACAATAGAGAAAATTCATGGGTACATGGAGTTCATTTACTGTTCTTTAGTTTGTATTATTCTTAAGTTTGTATATGTTTGAAATTTCCCATTTTTTAAAAAGCTTAAAAGTGAGAACAACAACAATTAAAACAAACTTATCAAGAACCACTTGGGAACAAAGAAAATTTTCTAAAAGATAAGTTTTTCTCAAGTTTTCTTTTTTGCTGTGACTGACCAGATATGATTCTTCACAGCTAATTCTTTCAATTTATATTCTGTCACTACTCATGTCATGTACAAAGCTTTTACTACAGTCTTCATTCTGATAAAAACTTGCCTGTTATTCACACTACATGAAGAAGTGTCAATAAGCTAAATGTACAAATTGTAATGATAAGAGCCACAGATTTGGAAATAATACACTGAACAAATTACAGAAGAGTATAATATTTATTATTTATTTACACTTTTATAAACCACATTTTAAAAAATCATATTTTATTGTGCTTTAGATGAAAATTTACACAGCAAATCTGGTTCTGCTTTGCCAGTTTTTACACAAATTGCTCCATGCCATTGGTTACAATGTGTCAGCATTATCATTATTTCCATTCTGTTTGCTTTGAAGTAAACTGTTTGGTTAATATGTTATTATTTGTTTCAGGAAGCACAATACTCACAGGTGACACTGGTTCTTTTATAAACCAGTCAATTGTTAGGATGAAAAGCAGCCTGCACATATAGCTTCAATTCCAAATTCTAAGGGTATTTTAGGGTGATCATCTGGGGAGTTTCTCTAGTCTATCAGTCCAGCAGATCTGGACTTGTGTTTTTAGGAACGATGCACCATATATTATTGATTCTGAGGAGTGCATTTTCAAATATTCTGAATTTTCCTACATTTGCATAGTTCACTGCCAACTGAAGAGCATGCTGCCTATGCAAATGAGACTGTAAGTGTGCACCAAAGGCCTCTTAACAACATGGTCAACTCTGCTGGGCTGTGGGCCTTGATAATACCACATTCCACTGAATTTCAACTTGCATCTGCATTCCATACTATTGCCTAAAATATCTTACAAAGATTAAATTATAATGCAGTACTCAAATAAAAGACATTGTATTGAGATAAAACAATACAACATAGAGCTATAAGACATATAACTATATGCTAATCAAATATTCTTGAACCAATGAGTTCTGGAGGCCTTGTGGGTAAGGTGTTGCACTGCCAACACAAAGACATATAACTATATGCTAATCAAATATTCTTGAACCAATGAGTTCTGGAGGCCTTGTGGGTAAGGTGCTGCACTGCCAACACAAAGACAGATAAGTTAAAATCCACTAGTTGCTCTACAGGAGAAACATGGGCAATCTCCTCCTTTGTAATTTACAGCTTCTGAAAATTTGTGGAGGGTCAGAGATGAGTCATTTCCAAATCTACGGTATTGAGTGTGAGGGGTTTTTTGAAGTAAATTCTCTTTGTAGGAAAAAGGACTATTCTTAAGTACTCAGAATCATCTAAGCAGGGAAGAGCCCAACAAGGAGACAAAACTTTGTCAGGTTTTGCTACTGAAACAAGTAAAAAATGACAACCTATTGCTGCATTTAAATTGCCTAACCTCTTGGGATAGAAAAAAATTACAAAACTCCTAAACCCTGTTATTCAAACTTTATTATTAGAATTACATGTCATATTTTTGTTAAAAAATAAATTTTAAAGTCACTATACTTTTCAGAATATTTAGATTTAAAAAATAGATGGTTTTAAAAACAAACCTATGTATTTGTGAAGATTCTAATCAACGCCACAGAACTAATGAGTATGAACTGTTGAATGGAAAACCAACCTGCTTTGTAAACTTTCACTTGTATCACACTAAAAAGTTGGAAATATGTATTTATTGCTTTTGTAAACAAATAAAACATATATACATTTCTCATTCTTTTTTCTTTTAATTTTATAGTGAATATTGTTTGCTGAAAAAAGACTTATGAAGCTTTAACACTCTTCTTGTAAATACTTTTTCCCTAGTTAAAAATGATAGAAAGTTGTATTCATTTCTTACTTCAGTTAATAGACCACCACCACAGCCAACATCAAGAATCTTCATCCCAGATAAAGGTTTTCCTGGCTGGTGATCAGCAATTCTTTTCAAAAGATTGTCTCTTTTTAAAATATTCAAAACACATAAAGACAAAGAATTAATTTTATTAATGAAAAGTATTTAAAGTGTTTCACTTTTAAGGAAATCAATGCCATTTACAATGAGCTATCTTATTAAAATTTGAGTAAATAAATTTATTTTCAGTATTAAATGATATATTTAATTTAGAAAACATTTTCAATAATAAAAAGCAGGAGATTTAAATTACAACTGAAATCATCACTATGACTGAGGTGGCAATACTTAAGGATACTTTGGGCAGTATATTAAATGATCCAGAAAGTATCAAGACAAGATGGAAGGAATACACAGAGTCACTGTATCAGAAGGAATTGGATGACACAGAAAAATTTCATGAAATGACATATGAGCAAGAGCCTATGGTGATGAAAGAGGAAGTTCAAATTGCTCTGAAGGAATTGGCAAGAAACAAGGCTCCAGGAGTTGACGGCATACCAATTGACATATTTCAACA